GGGGGGCCCGCCGCCCCCGCCCCCCCCCAGCCGATTCCCGCGCGCCAGCCCCCGGGATGGGGCGAGGGACACCAACCTGCCGGGAAGGAGTCATGCAAAGGCCGGGCCATGCCGTAAGCTCGTATCCGGCACGGAGCCAGGCCGCGAGAGGCGACGGGCAGCGGAGAGAGCGCTACAAGCCCAGGAAAACAGCCGTGCCTTTCCCTATGGGACGCAGAACAAGCTGGCATGGTCTGGGCAGTAACCCGACAACAGCAGAGCTGCCAGATGGAGCAGAAGCCCCAGAAAATGAGGGGAAGTTTCTGTAAGCTAAATAAAAGCTGGACTTTCGGACTGAGCATGCATCTGCAGCAAGTGCATGCACAGAGTGATCGGCTCAGGGCAAGGCTGGCTGGGAAACACCCAGACATGTAAAATGGAGCTAAGGGTCCTGCTTCGGATGGGTTTTGTTAGGGCACAGGCGCTAGATGGGGGGACCATGAGACACGTGGAGTGCCTTAGTTGGAGCAAAGCGCCGGAATTTCGCAAATTATTGCAATCTGATGGCAGCGTCGCCTACGTCCTCCCAGGGCCGCGTCAAATTGTTCCTGGGGTGGAAAAAAAAATCACAGCGCGGCTGGAGCAGGCGCCCGGTGGGCGGCAGAGCCCGGCACGGGGAGGCGAGAGGGGGACGAGGGCCCCGCGCCGGGACAGGGGCAACGCCGGCAGAGACACAGCCCACAAACGCCACACAGACAGGGAATTTCTGTGAAAATATTGGAATATATTTGAAAAGATTAATCATGTATGATTTTACAGTACCACCCCATATTTTCATCTCATACTTTATTTAACAATATTAAAGAGGCACTTTAAAAGCACACATACGACATCATAAAAAGGCGTTTCCTGCTCTCTCTCTGCTTCTCTGACAAAATATCAAAATAAAAACTTTTGACATAACACATTGCACCCAAGGTAAATTACCTACAATATTTTTATACAATACAAAGAATTGTAAAGATACATATTAACAGAATAAAGCCTCTTTTTTTTCCTTTTAAATCTAAAACAAAAAAAAATTGCAGGACAGACGCAAAGTACTCTGACTGTTCATATCACATCAGTGCATTACTTCACCTCCTTGACTTGGGAGTATTTCAATAGTATTTAGTTATCTTCCATGTCCTCGTTTGCACCTGAGATTTCTTTCCGGTTCAAAAGTTCAGTTGTATAACATGCTTGTATAACGTGACGTAACCTTTCCAACACTATGGAGTACCAGCATACAGGATTTTCCTTAAAGTTTGATTTTCCTGCTTTGTTTTCTTTTACAGGTAACTGCTACTTCCTAACGGTTCCCTTTATTTTTCAATCAAGGAAGTCTGTATTCACATTACAAAATAAAAATAGCACCAGTAACTGCATAGTAAAAAGCGGATACCTATATAGCCACTAACTCAATACAGTAAGATAGTTTAGAAGTTATACCGTTGAGGGCACTCGGACAGTACCATTCTGGTGTGGTAAATTGGCACAGTTTTGTCATTGCGCAAAAAACAAAACAAAACAAAACAAAAACCAAAAGAAAAACAACAAAAAGAGTTTGTCACAAGTGTCAAGGTGCAGTTTGCTCGCGTTCTTGGCTTTCCTCCATTTACATCATCTACAGTGGTCAAAGAATGGCAGCAACGTCGGAAATGCTATAATAGCCCACGCAGCATGAAAGCTAGCTCATTATTCTCTTGACAATGTAGAAACAAATTCTTAGGGATGGCTGTCAAAATATGGGACACTCGATTCTTAATTTAATTTTTTTTAATTGTATCATCGCTTAGGCCAGCTCCCAATTAAATGAATTGTACAGGATTATTTGTGCAAAATCTTCAAAAAAATTTGCTTTCTACAGTGTACTGCACCTTATGAATAAGACGTCTACGGAATGAAGTTCATCTCTTCAAGTACTTTGTACAAAGATAACACAGACACAGTCTCAAAAGGGTCTGAGATTTGCAAGTATCCTTATAACCTCAGCACTTCTGCAATAAAGCAATTGCTCTTGACGATTCAGTCTGCCCAAAGCGATTACAATTTCAGTTCATGAAAATCATCAGCAACATCAAAGTTCTAGCATTTGCATGATAAATCAGGTGAATTAAAGTAGATTAGTAGACACAAAGCAAACTATTTCACAGAGGCTGCAGTGCAAGTTCATTTAAGCTAGACAGAAAAATCATGCTACACAAACGAATTTAATGCTTTGATAATTTTTCCCTTGCAAACCCCATGAAAGCAGCTGAGGATCACCATAAGTCACTTTCATAAATTACTCTGAAGTATCTCTTCTTAAAGGAATTTTAAAGCTAGTTAATTTTTGCCCAAAGAGTTGGCTTAGCAGATTGTTCTGAGATTCGGCGGTGCGGAAGCTGGCCGGCTCGGCGCTTGGCCAGGGCCTGGTGCAGGCTCTTCCCCAGAATGGCCTTTTTGCGCTTCACGTCCCCGTTGGCATGACGGATCTCCACCTTCTTCTGGTTGTAGGCGTCCAGGACCATCTTTTTCAGCTGGTTGCCGACTCCTGCCATTTTGGGTTTGGGAATCAGTCTGTTGCAGTGCGTTTCCCTCCTGCCGGGGGAGAGGGCAGAAGCTTCGGCGTTGGTCCAATCGGCGCGTTTAAATTCGCCGGCACTCTCGCTCCTGCCCGGGCCTGGTGTCCGGGCTTTTTTCTTCTTCCCATCTCCCTCGATGTTCTCCCGGGAGCCGGAGCTGCCTCTGTGACTCAAGGACTTGTGCTCTTTTCGCTTCTTTGGGTGAAGCTTCCCTGGCCCGCTCAGAGCCGGCTTGTCCGTGGCTTTGCTCGTCTCCACCTGCCCGTGTCTCACGGCGTTGCTGGCCACCTCACCTTTGAGTTGGTGGCCAGTGGATTTGCCTTGGTTGGCGCCTTGCTCCTTGCCGCTGGCGTTAGAGCTGCTCTCCTTGGCACAGGCGCCTGTCTCGGGCACAACTTTTTCCTTCAGCGAGCCGGGTTTCTGACCCTCCTCGGGGCTCCCCCCAGGGCTGGCTGCGTTGGAAGCAGCATCGCTGCCAGCCTGACTGCCTGCGGTTTTCTTCTGCGAGGTCGACTCTTTAGCAGCCCTGTTCAGCACAGGCGATGTCGTCTTGTCCTTCAGGGGCAGGGGGTAGTGGGCAGCCTCGGGAGAACTAGCCTTAGATGCTCCTTCCCAAGAAGGGGCATTGTTTATGCTGGAGTTGCTGCACAGGGTTTTGTTGGTCTCTTTGGCCTGAGGAGCCTCGGCTCTCGGTGAAGGAAGCTCCGGGACCTTCTTGGCAAGTTGGAGAAATGGGACCTCATTCACGGGGTTGGTGGCTGCATCGGGATTTTCCAGGACACCTGCCATATATTCGTCTTTGTTGCCTAAGCTTGTTTTTTTATGTGCGTTGGCATAGCCACATTTCTCAGTAAGATGCGGAGAAGACAGTTTTTCATCTGCTACCTGGTTACAGGCTAATCCAGCAAGGTCAATATTAAACTGGGGTGAGTCCATGAAAGGAAGTGGTTTCCCATCAAAAGCTCCTTTCTCCAGTTCTTCAATGGATAGGGGAGTGATATGGCTGAGCTCTGGATTGCTTGCGGCAGCCTGCGGCAAAGACGGGGAGAGGCAGGGCGCTGGAGGCAGGGTATCAAACTGAGATTTCTCCATCTCTGCAAGGAGGTCAGAGAAGTCACCCACCAGGTCTTCTGTTTTCACAGAGGTTTGGGGTAGCGGTGCTCCCGGCTCACTAGCTGCTATAGGAAAAGACTCACTAGGAGCCTGCAGGCTGGGGGTTGCAACCTCCATCAGCTGCAGGTCACTAGTGTGGTCCAGGTGCACAGGTGAGCTGTGCGGGAGCGAGCTGCCATGCTGAGCAACCTTTCTCTTCTTGTTCGGTGGCATGCCCTCCTGGAGAGAGCCTTCATCTTTAACCTTCTCTCTGCCCTCTCTGGAGGCAATGCCAGGCCTCATGACCCCTCTGAATTTGAAGGTCTTGCTGCTTCCTGCAAGGTGCTTCTCCATGTGCCGGTCGTACTGCTCTTTCTTGGAGAACGTGTAGTTGCACATGCTACATATGAAGGACTTTTTGATAACGTGCATGACATCTGCACAGAGCTCACATGCATACAGGGTAGTGTGCTTGATCTCTTGTTCCTCCAGTATTCCATGCTCCTGGCTGAGGTGGTTTCGAAGCTCTTTGGTCTCCTGGTAGAACATTGGACACTTGTGGCACAAGTAAATCTTCTGTAAACTGTGCACTACTAAGTGCCGCTGGAGCTTAAAGGGTTTGGGAAACTGTTTCCCACAGTGATGACAGTCCCTGGAAGGATCCTTGCAGTCTGGGTGCATGGGAACAGCTTTCGGGGAGCTTTCACTTTTTGCCA